TTCAGTCAAACATGGCAGTGCTGTGAAGTGCCTTGGCCTCCAGCCCATGGGTCACCAGAAGCTTCCTCATATAATAGGAAGTCCAAACAACCCCAGGAAATCATTCCGATGTGAGTGGTGTCTTTAGTGGAAGAAAGAAGTGCTTAGAAGAGACATTAAGAACCTCAGCTTTAACTCTTTTCATGATTATGCACTCCAGAGGAGCAGAGGCTTTGTGGATAAAGAGATTACATGCATCTTATGAGGTCTGGGGAGATGTGACAGCATCTTCTACCCACACTTTCTCCCTTTCTGTTTTACTGCTCTTGCAGTCACAACATTGACTGGACGGATATTGCAGAGCAAGGCTGCCTCATAGCCCTGAAGGTCCCTTCCAGCCTGGCACAGGTAAATTGGATCATTCTTTCCTTAGAGCTGATAAGGATGAGCTTTTGGAAGAGCAGTGGGGGGGGAACTTAATTAGATTAAGATGCATGTCCAGGATGCGTGTGCTGAGCGTTGTGGCTGCCGGAGAGAGCAGCCATCAGAGCTAGGGACACCCTGGGATGCTCTTCCCAGCCCTGCCTGGCTCTGGGCTGCCCTTACGCTTTGAACAAGAAGAAGGAAAACACATCTGAGGTGTAAATCTCAGTGTAAACCAGCGCAGAGGGTCACTGGGGTGTGAACAAAACCGGGTCTCACACTGGTGTCCTGCCTCGGCTGTGACCTGGTGCTGGCAGGAGGGCAGGACCTCAGCTTTTCCTGGCCAAAGGGGGACTGGAGCAACCCGGTCTGGTGGAAGGTGTCCCTGCCCATGGCACGGGGTTGGAACTGGATGGTCTTAAGGTCCCTTCCAACCCAAACCAGGCTGTGATTCTCTGAAAATGCAGGAGCTGACGGGGTGATACAGGGTCAGGATTTAGGGGTCTCCCCACTTTCCACTCAGCTGTTCCTTGGGCTGTGAGTGCCAGTGGCCTTTGCGGCTCCTGTTCCGATGTGGTTACAAATGTGGGTTTGCTTTTGACTTTGTCCTTTTTTAGTGTTACTTATGTACTTGTCTTGATAACAGCCTCCATGAGGATATCGACACCATGCTGCATGTCTGCGAGTTTCCCATAAACAAATTTCCTTCTCCCTGCTATATACTTGCAGTGTTTTAGTGTTAGAGTTTGCCCTGCTGCACTGGGAGAGGGAGAATTTGACATCCCCAATTCACTCCCTTCATGCTCTTCGTTATTTTATATGCCTCTCCTGTGGTCTCTCTTCTTTTTATTCCTAATCAGGTCTAGTCTTTTAAATCCTTCTTTGTGTGATAGTTTCATTCTACAAAGGCTGAACTAGTTTGTAGCAGCTCAGTTGATGTGATCTTGCTCATCTCCAAGGTGTACCCATCGCAAGCTGCACTTAAATTGTGTCAAGTCCTGCGCTGCTCCGCTCTGGGAAGGGGGAATGTTTGTTGCAGCTGCCTTTCAATTTAAATTTGGATGTTTTAAATGAATTAAATATGAAGATGAATAATGCAAGTTGGTAACCCAGCCTTTCTGCAATGAAATGCAGACTTCTTCGTTTTGTCTCTCTGCTTCCAGGTTTTGATATGCCGCAGTGTTTGGACTGACTTTGGTGGCTTGTAGGAGTGATGGGGAACTAAAGCCCATGACAGTTCAGAGGAGCCCCTGGCACTTTTGATATCTCGGTGAGTGGAAGTTGTTTGAAACTCTGGGAAAAGCACTTTACCTGCTGCAAAAGGCAGCATGTCAGTTGGCCTTTTTAGATTAGAAGGGACTGAAATGGACTTGCACATTGAGCTGTCCTTTCAGGGTATAACCCTGAAACCACCACCACGTAAAACTGTGGTCTGTGCTTCCAGGATTGCCTTGCTATCTGCAGCAATGAGAAATACAGCTTTGGAAAAAGAGGGGAGTTGTAACTGGGGTACACAGCTCTGTACGAGTGTCAGGTTTGGAGATGGAGTGTTGCATGTGCTGGGCTGGGTAAACCTCCAATGCTTCATTTAATGCAAAAGTGTCTCTGTGTCATTGACCCAGGTGGCAGGTTCTCATCAGGGGTGTGTGTCTGAGGTCACTCAGGAAGGCCTGTCCATGGGGACAGCTCACTTTTCCCCCTCAGATACCACACTGTAGCTTCTGCTATTTATTAATCTAGGATTTTTCTGGTCTCCAGTCCTTGAGCAGTGCATAGGCCACATCTATCCATCCTGCAGTGCCTGTTCTGCTCATTGCTTTCATCCCTCTAGACTGAAGTCTCTCTTCTTCACTGGGGTGTTTCAGGCTTTCTGAAGCCTACAGGGCAACTCCACTTGCCTTCCAATCAGGTGTCAGTGAAATCAAATCATTGGGTATTTTGGGTTGGAAGGGGAATGGCTTTAAGCTGAAAGAGGGGAGATTGAGATGAGCTCTGAGGCAGAAGCTCTTCCCTGTGAGGGTGCTGAGGCACTGGCACAGGGTGCCCAGAGAAGCTGTGGCTGCCCCATCCCTGGCAGTGTTCAAGGCCACGTTGGACACAGGGGCTTGGAGCAACCTGCTCTAGTGGAAGGGGTCCCTGCCCATGGCAGGGGGGGGGGCTGGAGGAGCTTTAAGGTCTCTTCCAACCCAAACCAGGCTGGGATTCTGTGAATTTCCAGACTTGTGTGGTCCAGCCCCATGTGCAGAGCTGGGGTGAAGTCAGACCCAGACTTCAAGGTTGGACCAGGCTGCTCGGGGTGGTACCTGAGGACACTTGGACTATTTCCAAGGATGGAGATTTTCCAACTTTGCTGGGCAGCTACTGAGTGAAATCACAGCCAGTGGGAATTGCCAAGCCCCACGTCAGTAAAGCCCAGCTCACACCAGTTGCAGGAGGGCACACGGGCTGTGTCTGTGGGTAAGGAGGATTGGGCAGCAACTGGTCCCTGTCCCTGGGAGGCTGGTGGCTCCTGTCAGCACTGTGCAGGGCCGGTGGGCTGAAGACACGCAGTGTGGAGTTTCGCTCAGGCTCTTCTCTGGGAATTACATATCCCTGAGGCACAATAATTATTTACCATGGGGTTTTTCATGTTTGAGTCATGATTTTGCAGGGTGAAACCATGTGCTGCTGTCCTGTGCTGTGAGAACGTATGGGGCAGCTGATGGTGCTAAGCCATCAGCTTTGGAGCCCTGCAAAGGATGGCAGGAGCCAGGCTGGGACCATCTCCTTTGGACAGCTTCTTGGGAGCATATTTTGGAGTGTGCAGTCCCCAGGCAGAGCAGGAGTCCTCATGCAGCCCAAGTCACCTCCTCTGAGGAAGAGTCACCTTCTTTCATTGTTTTATAATAGGGCAATGTCTCATTCTCCACCACCACATCCTGGGAGCCCACTTGCTGACGGACCAGCACCCATCTGTGCACTTTACACACAGTTGGAGTTACTCCTGTTGCTGCCTGTGTGAGGATAGGGGGTGCAGGAGTTTCACCTCCCAGACCACAGCCTGAGCATCTCACACACAGCCACGAGTTCTTCCTCCAAACACTTCTGCAGGGAAGGCTGCACATCCCTGCGGGCAGGGCCCTGAAGTGCTCAGGCTGAAGGAGCTTTTCAGAAGCATCTGAGTAGCACAGAAAACACCCATCCTGGGCCAAACTCATGAGATTTATGATCAGTTTGGGTACTTCAGCCGGTCCCATGTCTGAGCAGAGCAGAGAGCAGAGGTGAGGAGCCAGACTGGTGCCTTTACATAAGCCCTTTTCGCCCTGGGGGGACTCTCCCTACCATGACTGCTGGCTTTTAATAAAAATGCCTGGGGAAAATGATGGAAAGAAGCATTAAAAGTTGTAAATAGGCTTTCACATGTAGATTACTTACTGCTACTGAAAGGAAAAGAAACTTTTCTCCTTTCACAAGTGTGCACAAACAAATACGCTATTTATGAGAGAGGCAATGAGAGACTCCTGTGTGCCTTTTGATTTGGATTAAAAAACAACTAGGTTGGCTTTTTTTCCTCTAGCTTTTAATATTCCTTTAGTATTTTCCATGTCAGAGTATTGCTCAATGTTGCAAGCACTGCCCTTCAAGGCTGTAGTTTGTAGTTGGGTTTCCAAATCAAAGCTTCTCGCCAAGTTGGATCTGTGAATAACTCTTGAAGCAGAAACTCGTGTCCCCAGCCAGCTTCCTCTCACATCCTGCAGCCTGACTGCCCCACTGTGAGCAACATGGAGTGAGAGTCACACAATTCATCTTTCATTCGTTAGGGCAGTGTTAAACATGCTTTTACCAGCTTTCCAAAGGGCTTGTTTGTGGCTCAACCATCCTTTTTGGTACCGGGCTTCATGGATGTGTCCAGCTCTCACTTCCCCACAGCTCTGATTTTTCAGTACCATTTGGTTAGAACAAGAATGTAAATGCTCAACTGCTTCTTCTTGCTGGGGACAGTCCAGCCAGTTTTCCTCCAACCAGGAGAAGAGGAAATGCAGCACCACTTGGCCACTGGTTGCAGTTCTAACAGCAAAAATGTTTCCTGGCTCCTTGTCCAATTTCTCGTCCCTATTACCCAGAATTACTGTGAGCAATCTGAATTGCAAGTGGTGAGCTAGGGCTTGCAGTGCTGCTTTGCCAGAGTTAATGTTGTGTTTCCATGTGGTTTCTTCCATGCATTTCAGCTCTGCCTCCCTTTGTTAGTGCTGGGGAGCAGCCCCCCCTGCCACGCACCCACCCGGGACCCACAGCAGTTAACACAGACACTGGCATATTCTCCTCTCCCTGAGTTATGCTGCTCCCACTGCTGTAAATTTGAAGTTGTCCACATATTGGAGAAAGACTTGTAGTTTAAGGGGGGTTGGAATGAATTGTCTGTGTTTAGTAGGAGATGTGCTGTGCAACCCAGGGTGAAAGAGCATCTATTTTCTCCCCACTCTGTGATTAGTTAATGTTGCACATGACTTTGTGCTCCAGAATGGGGAACGTTCTCATGTGTATTTCTTTTCTCCTAGACATCTTCAGTTATCCAAAAGGCAGCCAGTCCCAGGGTCAGGACAGCAGCAGGTGATAGAATGCGGAAACCAGGCCCTCAAAAAGGTGAGCACTGATGCTTGGCACGGCCACAGGCCCAGGAGAGAGCTGGTGCTGAGCAAGGGACCCAGCGCAGCGTGTGGCCAGCAATGGGGTGGGAGCACAGGGAATGTGTTGGCACAAGTTTGAGCCACTTGTTTCTCCAGCAGGGTGCAGAGAACCCTTCACTAACCCACCCCACAAGCAGGTGGAGGAGGAGTCCTTTGCTGGGTGCACCCCTGCAGCTCATGGGGCGCAGTGTCGGGCAGTGAGGGTCTTCTGGTGTATGAGCACACACCATCTGCTCGTGCTCCCAGCGTGAGCAGACAGCTCCTGTGCTGGCACAAGCCTCCCCCTTCTAATGAGGCGTGAAACCAAAGCCCAGCCTACCTTGTGGGGATGGCATCTGGTACTTTACCTCTGGCCACCCGAGTCCCTCGCCCTGTTCCACACAGCAGCAGCCGCACGTGCACCCTCCGTGCTCGCCCCAGCTCAAGTGGGAAGTTGTGGGGCTGCTGCAGCTGAGCTGCTCAGACTCCTTGTGCTTAAGAGAACTATTGATTTCCTTCAGCCTTGTGCCACGGGTGTGTGTTGGACCGGGGTGATCTCATCACATATGCCTGGGAGGATGGGGGAAGGGAGCAGCGTAGAGGAAGGAGCATCCTCCGCAGTGCTTTGTTCACATCTGCTGCACACTCACCAGGTTTATTGCAGGAGATTGCTGTGCTCCATTTCTCTCCTCCCTTTCTTGTCTTTTAACCATCTCCTTTGCTTCTCTGGTGGTTCCTCTTAGAGGAGCATTCTCCCCTTCCAAACACTGCTTGTCCTTTAATGAAGTGCAAATAAATGAAGGCCAGCAGGGGATGGGGGGAGTGTGCTGCGAGGCCGCTGCAGGGCTGGGAATCAAAGAGCCACGTTGATTGTCAGCACTGTGGCCTCAGGCCGGGCTGCACACAGCTTCTTCCCTGCCTCAGGAGCAGGATGCCTCAGCCCAGTGCTGTGGGACCTGTGCTGGGCCATAGGTTACAGCAGCAACACTTGGGTTTGTGTCCTACTTACCTGCTGTTTTAATACTGCATTGAACTTTTGCTTGTTCTTCCTATGCCTGCAGAAATTCTTGCTTCTCTTGCCCTCTTTGCTGCTTTTCCTGCCTGCTTAATGAGGAGTTTTGCATGTTAAAGGTTAAGAATAAGACAGAACTTCACTAGCAGAGTATGGCAAGAGGTAACTTGGAGTGCACAGATGCTGTTAGAGTTATCCTGCAACACTGAGAGGAGCGTTACCCGTCCACGGGGGCTTTTTTGCTTCTGGCTTAAATACTCTGTGTCCTTTAGTCTTGCTTTCTTGAGGAGATGGCAGAATACTGTCCTTCAAGTGAATTCATTTATAGGAAGGGTGTCCTTCCACCCTTTTCATTCATTTCATAGAACCATAGAATGGTTTGGGTGGGAAAGCACCTTAAAGCTCATCCAATCCCAACCCTCTGCCACAGGAAGGGACACCTTCCACTAGAGCAGGTTGCTCCAAGCCCACAGTTTGAACCCATCACCCCTTGCCCTATCACTGCAGTCCCTGATGAAAGTCCCTCTCCAGCATCCTTGTAGCCCCCTTCAGATACTGGATATTTATGTCTCTCCAAGGAGGTTCTTTTTCTGGTCCATGTCTAGTGATGCTGTGGCCATGCTCTGTATGTCCCTCATGCTCATTTGAGGGGTAAAACCTACATCTCGTCCTCCTGTCCACTATGGATATTTATGTCTCTCCAAGGAGGTTCTTTGTCTGGTCCATGTCTAGTGATGCTGTGGCCACGCTCTGTATGTCCCTCATGTTCATTTGAGGGGTAAAACCTACATCTCATCCTCCTGTCCACTGGATTGAGAAGAACACATCAAGAAGATTGCAAAAATAATGGTCCAAAAACAATTTCAGACATCTTAAGACCCACCAGCTGCTCCTCCCATCAGCAGAGAGGGTCGAGGCTGGATGTGTGAGTAAGGCTTGCTGCAGCAACCTGGAGCTGATGAATAAGGAGCAATTCAAGCTCCATGTCTTGGTGTAGTGAGATCCACATGAGCCAGTTTTTGTGGCTTTTGCATTTGTTCCTTTCAAGCTTTTCCGTCTCTTCATGTAGTTAAAATGATGGAGCTTCAGCAGTTTCCTGCTTTTTAGGTTATTGCTTGCCTTTGTGGGAGGACACTGCTTGGTGAGGACTAGGCAGAGAATAAGATGCAAATGCAGATACCTTAAGTCAGGTATCTCCCTGCTTCAAGCACATCCCATCGGTTTAGACAAATGATCCATGTTACCTGGGTCGTGACAGGGCCAGGGAGGTCACTCCTCTCCTCTGAAGTGCCTGCAGAGCAGGTGCCATGGGCAGATAATGTTCCAGAGCATGAACTGATTTCACTGACACAAACACTTTGTTTCTTGTCTCAGCCATAGACTGGAAAGATGGTAAAAAGCACAAGTACGGCCGCCCGTCAGAGTCCCCCTCCCAGTACCAAGGTAAGAGAGCTCCCTGCTCCCCTCCTCCTCCTCTTCTCTCCTCCCCCCCCTTCTCTTCTTCTTTTTCTCCCTCTCCCCTTGTGTGTTTTTTCTCCTGGAAGCTTTTTGAGTTGTTTGGATGTGGGAAACTGCAGATGCCAAATTTGATTACAGATAAAAACTGCTTTTGGACAGTCCTCATGTGAGTCCTAACTCTGACCACAGTCAAAACTGGCTGAGAAGACACCGGGGTGAGCGCAGAGCTGAGCCAGCTCGTTTGAACCCACCCAGGATCCAGCAGATCTCTTTCTTCCTCCTCAGCTGCAAGTGCTGAGGAGTGACTCTCCCCATGTTTTCCCATGCACTTGGAGCATAAGGAGCCTCTTAGTCCTCCATAAACTCTTCCTCATTCACAGCAGTAGTTAGCCCAGGCCACAGTGTTGTAGGAGAGACATGGTGTGACCCATGGAAGGATCCCTAGTGCCGGCATGAAAGCTGGAGAGGGGCTTTGGACAAGGGATGTAGGGACAGGACAAGGGGAATGGCTTTTACCTGCCAGAGGGGAGACTGAGATGAGCTCTGAGGCAGAAGCTCTTCCCTGTGAGGGTGCTGAGGTGCTGGCACAGGGTGCCCAGAGAAGCTGTGGCTGCCCCCTCCCTGGCAGCGTTCAAGGCCAGGGTGGACACAGGGGCTTGGGACACACCTCACTAG